ATAGAGAGCTCAGAGCGCTTATTTATTTTATTTTTTTAATTTGTTGCTATTTCCGTTGTTGTTGTTGCTTTTGTTGTTTTGTTGTTTTGTCTTGTCTGCTGAAGAAGGCGTCCAGTCGAAACGTTCTCCTGTGATTGTCGTGTATATTAATTTTCAGATTCTTCCATTTTTCCAGCTGGTTTTAAGCTGACCGTTCAAACACATCTTATTATTATTTTTTTTTATTGTTTCATCTCTCTCAAAGATTCCATTATATTTGAAAGTAAAACACTATCATACATTTTTAAAAAAAATTCATACACTTGCAATACTTCTAGTTAATTAATGTGTTTCAGATGTCATATTCAGGGCAGATGAATAGCTCAGACATGGGACAGAACTGTGGAATGTTCAGCACAACGAATCGCCTGCCAGTCAAAGCTCGATGCGACACGTCACAGCGCTACCATGTGTGAAGTGACCTTGGCACCAGAAGGCTATTATTAGAAGCTCCAAAACTTCCGTTTTACTACGACAACCATGGAGACAAGTTTTCGAAATACAGTGACACTATTGGGCGAGATGTGCAAAATAATTGGCCGGGTCGACTGATCAGAGCAAAATGCTCACTGAACACGGACTTCACCACTGACATTCCCATAAACAATTGCACCAGAAACAATAGCAAATGCCTCAAAGTGCCTCAGTGCAACACAGTGCAGTATCAACAGTGCAACACAGTGCAGTATCAACAGTGCAACACAGTGCAGTATCAACAGTGCAACACAGTCCAGTATCAACAGTGCAACACAGTGCAGTATCAACAATCTCTCTTCCCACGCACACTAATAGCATGGAACAACCTGAACGATGCCACTGTGAACTCGACATCAGTCGAAAGCTTCAAGGCTGCCCTGGCATCAGCTAGGAGCTGTTAGACTAGCAACATCATACCCCCAACCGTTGCAAAGATGCCACTACATGGATGCAGCAACGAAACATTACCAGAACCAGAACCAGAAAACTCAATAATTATTCTATTAATATTTCTTGGATATACTATAAGTATTATGATGTTTCTTGGACATACTTTTAGTGCTATCAACTATCATATTTCTTGGACATTCTATTAGTACTATGTGTATGATATTTCTTGAACATACTATTAGTACTATTATGTTTCTTGGACATACTATTAGTGATATGATTTATCTTGGGAATACCATAAGAACTATGATGTTTCTTGGACATACTGTTAGTATTATGAAGTTTATTGGAAATACTATCTATAAGTAGTTTTATGTTTCTTGGACATACTATTAATACTATCACATTCCTTGGACATACTTATAGCACTATGATATTTCTTGGATATACTATTAGCACTATATTTCTTGGAGATACTATTAGTACTAGAATGTTTCTTGGAGATCTTCTTTTTATAATTATAAAATAATATGTGAAATGAATCTTTTGTAAATTTCCGTAATTTAAAAGCATCTTTTTACTTGAAACCCAAATGTCTTGAAATGTTTGCGTTTTTATGTATATATATATATATAAATTAAACTAGCTGTTTTAAATGTATGATTATGTTATTGATTTTCACGTTCTTGTAAAATAAATGTAATATTTTTATTTAATTTTAAGGCGATGTTGCAGAGTTCTTGTTAAAAAAAAAGTTGAAGAAGGAATTCAGCCATATTCTGAATTTCCCCTTTATAGAAATGCATGCCTTTCTTTTCGATTATTAACACATATTTATGTTATTACGTAAGCTTTGATTGCACATCCTTTTGTTGGACTGCCATCAACTACTTATCACCATGTCAAGAATACTGTCAAGTATCAAGAAAATGTGAAGGATAAGCGGAGTGAGAGGAAGGGTGGAACTACCTGAAGGGCAAGTGGGCGATAAGTGGGGGGAACTCCCTGAAGGGAAAGTGGGTGATAGGTGGGGGAACTACCTGAAGGGAAAGTAGGTGATAGGTGGGGAACTACCTGAAGGGAAAGATGGTGATAGGTGGGGGAACTACCTGAAGGGAAAGTAGGTGATAGGTGGGGGAACTACCTGAAGGAAAAGTGGGTGATAGGTGGGGGAACTACCTGAAGGGAAAGTAGGTGATAGGTGGGGGAACTACCTGAAGGAAAAGTGGGTGATAGGTGGGGGAACTACCTGAAGGGAAAGTAGGTGATAGGTGGGGAAACTACATGAAGGGAAAGGAGGTGATAGGTGGGGGAACTACCTGAAGGGAAAGTGGGTGATAGGTGGGGGAACTACCTGAAGGGAAAGTAGGTGATAGGTGGGGGAACTACCTGAAGGGAAAGTGGGTGATAGGTGGGGGAACTACCTGAAGGGAAAGTGGGTGATAGGTGGGGAAACTACCTGAAGGGAAAGTAGGTGATAGGTGGGGGAACTACCTGAAGGGAAAGTAGGTGATAGGTGGGGAACTACCTGAAGGAAAAGTGGGTGATAGGTGGGGGAACTACCTGAAGGGAAAGTAGGTGATAGGTGGGGGAACTTCCTGAAGGGAAAGTGGGTGATAGGTGGGGGAACTACCTGAAGGGAAAGTTGAGTGAGAAGAATGGCGGAACTACATGAGTGAAAATTTGTGTAAGAGGTAGGGTGGAACTACCTGAAGGGCAAGTGGAGTGATAGGCAGTGTGAGGCAACCTGTAGGGCAAGTGGGGTGATAGGCAGGGTGAGGCAACCTGTAGGGCAAGTGGAGTGATAGGTAGATGGGAACTACCTGAGTGGCAAGTGGGGTGGTAGGCAGGGTGAGGCAACCGGTAGGGCAAGTGGAATGAGAGTAAGGGTGGAATTACCTGAGGAACAAGTGGAGTGGTCGGTAGTGTGAGGCAACTACCTGAGGGACAGATGGAGTGATAGGTAGTGTGAGGCAACTACCTGAGGGACAGATGGAGTGATAGGTAGTGTGAGGCAACTACCTGAGGGACAGATGGAGTCATTGGTAGTGTATCTACCTGGAGAACTTATTTAAAATCAGACATTATTTTTTTTTCAATTTATATTTTATTTACATTAACATACACACCAGCAAAACACACCAGCAATACACACTAACAGCACCCACCAACAACACTCACCTACAATACACACCAGCAAAACACACCAGCAATACACACTAACAGCACCCACCAACAACACTCACCTACAATACACACCAGCAAAACACACCAGCAATACACACTAACAGCACCCACCAACAACACTCACCTACAATACACACCACCACAACTAACTTGATAGATCAATTCATTTGAGCTGTTTACCCACGAAGCAAAAAAAAAAAAAAAAAAAAAAAAGAAAAAAAAATAATTCAGCAATTGCGCGCCAATAAATATCGACTGGTCAGTTGGTGCGTTCAAGCATTCCTTCCCAGCGTGTGGATTGATTCACTGCGGGGTACACGTTTTTGCACTACTTCTCCATATCACCAAACGTTGGGCATCGGTGAAATGTCTACCGGAGGGGGAGAACTATTTTATGTGGAAGACTCCCGGGAACGTACCACTTCCGCTGCGGAACCGTGACCCACAATGGCTATAATGATCAGGGGAGACTATGTCGCTCTTACTATTCAGTTGCAAACTTAAAAAAGAAAAAAAAAATTCGTTGCGTGTCTACTTGTCATATTAAGTGATTAAATATGTCACAGTCTGTCATGTACCGGGTGCAGGAGGAAAGGTGGAGATATCTAAGCTTTGAATGTATCAAAAGAAGCCAAAAACAGGGACACATTTGCGAACAGTGTGTGGTGCATAGTAAAGGGGCATTTAGTCGGGGTACATGGAGTGTGGTCTAATTATTATTATTTGGTTCGTTATTTATATTTTTATTTTATTAAGAGAATTTATGAAAGGTCAGCGGGCAAGTGCCCAGTGGTACATCGGTCCAGTGCCTAGTAGTACAGCGGTCCAGTACCTAGTGGTACAGTGGGCCAGTGCCTAGTGGTACAGCGGACCAGCGCCTAGTGGTACAGCGGACCAGTGCCTAGTGGTACAGCGGACCAGTGCCTAGTGGTACAGCGGACCAGCGCCTAGTGGTACAGCGGACCAGCGCCTAGTGGTACAGCGGACCAGTGCCTAGTGGTACAGCGGACCAGTGCCTAGTGGTACAGCGGACCAGCGCCTAGTGGTACAGTGGTCCAGTGCCTAGGAGAAACATCTTTAAATATAATTTACTGTGGTTATAACAGTTTCGTTCCTTGACTAAATTCAGCTGCGTGGATATCCAAAAGGCGCCCAAGCCCCCAAAAAGTATTTTTCCAACCATAAAGTTTAAGTATAAAGAAGAAAGGTTTGAATAAAAAAACAAAAGTCTTGATCATTTCGACTCAAATCCCTGAATAGAAGATTCAAAGTTTAATTTTTTAAAACTATTGACTAATTGACTTAAATTGAGTGTGGCTCAAATTCTACGCATTACGACGATGTTAAAGGTGATGTAATTAGGTCGTTGCTCCCTGGATCAACCACGCCATTAGTCCCTCAGTTGGTCTGACCTTAATCACCTTTCCTATAGCCCAACTTCCGTCCTGGCACCAACTTTTTCTGCTCTTTTAATTCTTATATCGAGGAGTGGAATCAATAAATGCTAAAGATTGGAGAAATGAAACCCAAAAAAAAGTCACTTAAAAGTATGCAAATCAATGGGCCAAGAAGCTTAGAGCATCTGAATTGTACGTCATCAATGGTTGACTCCAGAATGCACCCCAAGCTAGCTGCCTCGCTTTTTTGTCCAAAAATATGCAAATACACGCCGGAGTTCTCTTCATGGAAAGCTTACTGAAATATATGACGGCGTCAATTTGGTGGAGATTGTGATGCGAAGATTCCACTCTGCCGAGCGATTGATTTTATGTCAATACAACACAACTAGAGTTGCCTCTCTTTATTTACCACACGACATTTTAAGGGGGGGGGGGGAAGAGATTACATTAGCCGAGTGCTCTGACGTGCGCACTGAGATCTTAAAACATAAACAACTTCATTTGTGGACAATGCGGACAGCTCGATATGCCCACAGCTATATTTTAAATGTGTTCAGCGATCTACACGTCAGTATTCCGACGATGTGTGTTGACCTGCGTGACAAGTGTTTAAAACTGACCTGCTCAAGTTCTGATGGCGATGGAAGTTACGAAGTGTTCTTTGTAGGCTTAGAAAAGTGAACAAAACCATACACATACAGGCCCACAGACATACAAATCATACACATATCGCGACATGAAGCTCTGGAGAACTAAAGAGTTGTTGTTCGTGATTTTAACGCTAATGGGTGAGTTATCTTTCCTTGTGATTCTCAATTGAAAGCATAGCATACGTCCATTCTATTGCTCACCTTTTCATACTGTTTCTGATTATTTAGCGCTGAAAATGAATTATGTAGAATGTAATCAAAAAATGAGTTTCATTTATTTGGCTTTTTAAAAAATCTTATCTTATCGTCATTACAAATCAGAACAAACAAATCATTCATTTCCCAGTTACCAAGGAATATACCAAGAAACTCCACATTTAAAAACTGAACATTTAGTTACATTCCTTTTGATAAATATTTTGTATCTACAATAACGCGTCAGTTGCATCAACGAATGAAGAAGAAACACAAGAGGGTAATAATCATACTGCGATAATAATATAATGGCCTTCTGTAGATTGTTGTATCTCCTGGTAGTACTAAGGTGCATCACTGTCATATATTGGTATCTCCTGGTAGCACTATGGTGCATCACTGTAATATATTGGTATCTCCTGGTAGCACTATGGTGCATCACTGTAATATATTGGTATCTCCTGGTAGCATTATGGTGCGTCATTGTAATATATTAATATCTCCTGGTAGCAATATGGTGCATCACTGTAATATAATGGTATCTCCTGGTGTCTTGGACACTTTTTAATGTCAAGTTATTACTATGCTGTCTTCTGGTAATATTTCGGTGTCTATCTGTAGTGTTATGGTGTCTTCTGGTCATATTTAAGTGTCTACCGGTAATGTTATGGTGTCTTATGGTAATATTTAAGTGACTATCGGTAATGTTATGGTGTCTTTTGGTAATATTTAAGTGACTACCGGTAATGTTATGGTGTCCTATGGTCATATTTAAGTGACTAAAGGTAATGATATGGTGTCTTGTGGTCATATTTAAGTGACTACCGGTAATGTTGTGGTGTCTTGTGGCAATATTTAAGTGACTAAAGGTAATGAAATGGTGTCTTGTGGTCATATTTAAGTGATTACCGTTAATGTTATGTTGTCTTGTGGTAATATTTAAGTTACTACCGGTAATGGTATGGTGTCTTGTGGTCTTATAAATTTAAATTATTTATGAGCTTAATTTCTATTTAAAAACATAAAAAGTTGTTTGGCTCAAAAGGATCTGTGTGTATAATGTCATTTGAATCATTTCATTGTGAAATGTCATTGAATAATTTCATTGTATAAGGTCATTTGAATCATTTCATTGTGTAATGTCATTGAATAATTTCATTGTATAATGTCATTTGATTCATTTTGTTGTATTATGGCATTTGAATAATTTCAAGTTTATAGAATTTTAAGAGGAAATTAAAATTAAAATAAAAAGATTGAAAGATTATCGAAGTTTGCGTCCAGTTGGTGACTGTGACGTCACCCAGAGTGTACTATTTGGTATCATGTCCAGTTGGTGACTGTGATATCACCAAGAGTGTACTATTTGGTATCATGTCCAGTTGGTGACTGTGATATCACCCAAAGTGTACTATTTGGTATCATGTCCAGTTGTTGACTGTGATATCAACCAGAGTGTACTATTTGAGTGTACTATTTGGTATCATGTCCAGTTGTTGACTGTGATATCACCCAGAGTGTACTATTTGGTATCATGTCCAGTTGGTGACTGTGATATCACCCAGAGTGTACTATTTGGTATCATGTCCAGTTGGTGACTGTGATATCAACCAGAGTGTACTATTTGGTATCATGTCCAGTTGGTGACTGTGATATCAACCAGAGTGTACTATTTGGTATCATGTCCAGTTGTTGACTGTGATATCAACCAGAGTGTACTATTTGGTATCATGTCCAGTTGGTGACTGTGATATCAACCAGAGTGTACTATTTGGTATCATTTTTTGTTCTGGCTGTAGAAGTAGCCTATGGCTACATGTGCGTAATTTGAAGTTTTAGCATTTTTTCCTTAGATTATCGGGTTCGGGGGGAGGGGGGGATATATTAAAAGATCACCAGACTGTCTACTGCTATGGTTAGTTTTTCTTGCAGCCCCCCTCAGTCTCTTCGTCAAACGCAGTACTAATGATTGGATACTAACCATTGCATGAATACTAATTAAATTACTTATCATGCGTAGTTCTTAACGAAACACCCCACCATCAATAGCCGCATTTATATGCATCTTAATATTAAATACCCCCACGAAAAATTACCCCATGACTAAATACCCCATGACTAAATACCCCATGACTAAATACTCCACGACTAAATACCCCACGACTAAAAGCCCAATGACTAAATACCCCATTACATCCATGACTAAATACCCCACGATTAATTACCCCACAACTAATTACCCCACGACTAATTACCCCATGACTAATCACCCAATTGCAACTAAACCATTGGGGTAATCATCCCGTTTATATTATTACGTCAATTATTAATGATCTCATTGCTCATTATTTCACGAAGTTAATAATTAATTATGTAATGTAATTACTAACTCTTTCATGGAATTACCAATCATGCCAATTATTTACTAATTGTATTGCGTAATTACTATTTATGTCATGTAATTACTATTTATGTCATATAATTACTATTTATGTCCTATAATTACTAATCATGTCATGTAACTAGTATTTATGTCCTATAATTACTAATTATCTCAAGTGATTACTATTTCGTCCAGTGCTTACAATTTTATTACCAATAATTCCATTATTGATCACACATCAATGGCCGCAAGAGGCGAGTCCACTTCATCTCAAATGTCAAATAGTGAACAGCACAAGAAATGTCTGTGATACCAAAGAAATATTTTACACTTGTGCAATCACAGGTGTATTTGTATTTTAAAAATATATTTGAGAATCACCTTCTGCACTTCCCCACCCATCCACCCCCCCCCTTTTTCGTATGAATCTATATACGGTTCTGTTGTGTTGTTGTTGTTTTTTTAATGACCAGCTAATGCAAAACCCGTTGCTATTTTTTTAGACATCAGTAGATCTCAAACGATGAAGCAAAACACTTGGCGGCTACTGTCGAGCCCCTACATCCAATTACAAAACATTTACAAGAAGCTGAAGACCCCCGACCACGGGTCGTGTGCCTCGAGCTGTCTGTGGGAAGCATCGTGCATCAACTTTTACTACAACCCGCAAACGACCGACTGCACTCAGGGTAAGAATCTCTTTTTGCGAAACTTCTCTAATCAACGGATTTTTACTTTGTGACTTCTTGGTCAGCTTTCAAGCGTCAGAAAGGTTGCTTTACTGATTGCAGATGAAAGGAAACAAGTAATACAGGGGGAAAAAAAACAACAACAAAAAAACAAATAAACAAACAAACAAACAACAACAAACAAAAACACCAAACCTGCCAGTTTGAAGAAAGGAAACACGTTTATTAAATAGATCTACATGCCAGGTAGCCAACCTCACTTAAAAAGAACTGTGTTACGTCTTATAGTTTTAATTGACCAAATTTTTTTTTTTTAAATTCCCATTTCATTTACCGGGTATTTATTTAATTTTTTTTTAAAAATAACTTACGTGGGGAAAACATTTTTTTTTTTTTTAAACATGATTTTAAACCAAGAGCACGCGTCTCATTCATTCTTCTTTGTCCTGGTTCCTGTTCAAATACTCGATTACTCCAGTCGAGCGTCTTCGGGTGTTTTCTGGTAACGTTTGCCGATGGTGCTCTACAACACTGTCTATCAACAAATAAAAAGGCACTTTACAACACAGTCTATCAACGAATACCCAGGCCCTTTACAACACTGTCTCTAAACAAATACACGGGCACTTTACAATAGTTCCTATAAAAGAATACCCAGGCAGTTGACAACAATGTCCATCAACAAATAACCAGGCACTTTACAACACTGTCTATCAACAAATAGAAAGGCACTTTACAACACTGTCTATCAACAAATAGAAAGGCACTTTACAACACTGTCTATCAACAAATAGAAAGGCACTTTACAACACTGTCTATCAACAAATTGAAAGGCACTTTACAACACTGTCTATCAACAAATAGAAAGGCACTTTAAAACACTGTCTATCAACAAATAGAAAGGCACTTTACAACACTGTCTCTAAACAAATACACGGGCACTTTACAACAGTTCCCATAAAAGAATACCCAGGCAGTTGACAACAATGTCTATCAACAAATAACCAGGCACTTTACAACACTGTCTATCAACAAATAGAAAGGCACTTTACAACACTGTCTATCAACAAATAGAAAGGCACTTTACAACACTGTCTATCAACAAAAAGCCAGGCATACCGAATAGTGGAAAACAAACACTTTATGAATGAATAGAGTTCTCACTTATTACGCGTGTCTGTCCCGCAGATTCACCAGGTTACAGTATCTCCTTATTACTACACAGTCACACAGATTCACCTGGTTACAGTTTCTCCTTATAACTACACAGTCACACAGATTCATCTGGTTACAGTATCTCCTTATAACTACACAGTCACACAGATTCATCTGGTTACAGTTTCTCCTTATAACTACACAGTCACACAGATTCACCTGGTTACAGTTTCTCCTTATAACTACACAGTCACACAGATTCATCTGGTTACAGTATCTCCTTATAACTACACAGTCGCATAGATTCACCTGGTTACAGTTTCTCCTTATAACTACACAGTCACACAGATTCATCTGGTTACAGTATCTCCTTATAACTACACAGTCGCATAGATTCACCTGGTTACAGTTTCTCCTTATAACTACACAGTCACACAGATTCACCTGGTTACAGTATCTCCTTATTACTACACAGTCGCATAGATTCACCTGGTTACAGTATCTCCTTATAACTACACAGTCGCACAGATTCACCTGGTTACAGTATCTCCTTATAACTACACAGTCACATAGATTCACCTGGTTACAGTATCTCCTTGTTACTACACAGTCGCTTAGATTCACCTGGTTACAGTATCTCCTTGTTACTACACAGTCGCTTAGATTCACCTGGTTACAGTATCTCCTTATAACTACACAGTCACATAGATTCACCTGGTTACAGTATCTCCTTATAACTACACAGTCACACAGATTCACCTGGTTACAGTATCTCCTTATAACTACACAGTCACACAGATTCACCTGGGTACAGTATCTCCTTATAACTACACAGTCACACAGATTCACCTGGTTACAGTATCTCCTTATAACTACACAGTCACACAGATTCACCTGGTTACAGTATCTCCTTATAACTACACAGTCACACAGATTCACCTGGTTACAGTATCTCCTTGTTACTACACAGTCGCATAGATTCACCTGGTTACAGTATCTCCTTATAACTACACAGTCACACAGATTCACCTGGTTACAGTATCTCCTTGTTACTACACAGTCGCTTAGATTCACCTGGTTACAGTATCTCCTTATAACTACACAGTCACACAGATTCACCTGGTTACAGTTTCTCCTTATAACTACACAGTCACACAGATTCATCTGGTTACAGTATCTCCTTGTTACTACACAGTCGCATAGATTCACCTGGTTACAGTATCTCCTTGTAACTACACAGTCACACATATTCACCTGGTTACAGTTTCTCCTTATAACTACACAGTCACACAGATTCATCTGGTTACAGTATCTCCTTGTTACTACACAGTCGCATAGATTCACCTGGTTACAGTATCTCCTTGTAACTACACAGTCACACATATTCACCTGGTTACAGTATCTCCTTATAACTACACAGTCACACAGATTCACCTGGTTACAGTATCTCCTTGTTACTACACAGTCGCTTAGATTCACCTGGTTACAGTATCTCCTTATAACTACACAGTCACACAGATTCATCTGGTTACAGTATCTCCTTATAACTACACAGTCACACATATTCACCTGGTTACAGTATCTCCTTGTTACTACACAGTCGCTTAGATTCACCTGGTTACAGTATCTCCTTATAACTACACAGTCACACAGATTCATCTGGTTACAGTATCTCCTTATAACTACACAGTCACATAGATTCACCTGGTTACAGTATCTCCTTGTTACTACACAGTCACACAGATTCACCTGGTTACAGTATCTCCTTATAACTACACAGTCACACAGATTCACCTGGTTACAGTATCTCCTTGTTACTACACAGTCGCTTAGATTCACCTGGTTACAGTATCTCCTTATAACTACACAGTCACACAGATTCATCTGGTTACAGTATCTCCTTATAACTACACAGTCACACATATTCACCTGGTTACAGTATCTCCTTGTTACTACACAGTCGCTTAGATTCACCTGGTTACAGTATCTCCTTATAACTACACAGTCACACAGATTCATCTGGTTACAGTATCTCCTTATAACTACACAGTCACATAGATTCACCTGGTTACAGTATCTCCTTATAACTACACAGTCACACAGATTCATCTGGTTACAGTATCTCCTTATAACTACACAGTCACATAGATTCACCTGGTTACAGTATCTCCTTGTTACTACACAGTCACACATATTCACCTGGTTACAGTATCTCCTTATAACTACACAGTCACACAGATTCACCTGGTTACAGTATCTCCTTGTTACTACACAGTCGCATAGATTCACCTGGTTACAGTATCTCCTTATAACTACACAGTCACACAGATTCACCTGGTTACAGTATCTCCTTATAACTACACAGTCGCATAGATTCACCTGGTTACAGTATCTCCTTATAACTACACACTCTCTCCTTAATTAACTTTCTCTCTCTCCCTTGTTCTAGTTCACACCTTACATCCACACACTTGTTTATTATCCCATCCCTGTCATCCAATGATCCCATCCCTGTCATCCAATGATCCCATCCCTGTCATCCAATGATCCCATCCCTGTCATCCAATGATCCCATCCCTGTCATCCAATGATCCCATCCCTGTCATCCAACGATCCCATCCCTGTCATCCAATGATCACATCCCTGTCATCCAATGATCCCACAGACAATACTTACACCCAGGGCACGACTCTCCGACCCAAACACCGTTCACACTAACAAAAGTGATTCTCATGCCCTTGACAGCCAGGTGTTATATAGCTTCTTTCCATTTCGACTCTTTTCTCACATATTTCGTCTCCCTCATCCCAGTTGCATTGCCCCTTTCTCTCTTTCTCCGTGTCTCTTTCCTACTGGACATTCCGTGGGCCGGGCAAAGTTTTCTTACGTCCAGGGAGTAAACAAGAAATCTGGGTTTCGCTGTTGTCTGACCCGGTTACCGGAAATTTGTTTAAAAGAAATTTCAACGATGGAAAATTGATTGACGGAAATTTGATCGAACATACATTTGGTCGAATCTTTATTTCAGTTCACACGTTAAAATTTTGCGTCAAATTTCTTTTTGAACGCACTTTAATATATAGTCAATGAAAATAATGCGTTCAAAAAGAAATTCGACACACAATGTAAACCTCTGAACTGAACAAAATAAAATTCGACCAAACTTCAGTTCGATCAAATTTTCGTCCATAAATTTTCCTTCGACGAAATTACTTTCGAACAAATTTTGGGATACGGTCTGACCCTCTTCATTCGCCCATATGTAGAGCCCGTCTTTTCTCGAGGACGGCTAATTTATGTTTGGTTTTGAATGGATTCGTGGCACTGTTTTCTTTTGTGCTCCGCCCAACTAACCCAACGCTAAACTTATCAACAGTCGCCTGCTCTTTTACGCCATGCGAGCAGGATGACAGTAGGTCAATTCTTCCCATGCAAGGCTTCAGATCCTTACTCGTCACAAGGGGTAGGGTTTGGGGGGGGGGGTTAAGTTGATTCCAGTATGGTTTAAATTTTCATCACTATATTATGTATACAGATTCAAATGCTGTCATATATTTTAAATATTTCCATGGCCAACTTCAGTTCCAAGCGCAACCAATTAAAACGTGAAATGTAACGAGAATATTCCCCAATTCAGTGTTTCTCAACCGTTTGTGCACCCACCTCAGGACCCCAAAAAAACAAACTTTAATAGTCTCTCCAGCTCTTAGTAGAAGAGAAACAAAGAATAAAACAAGTCCCTATGCTGCCTGTTGAGGTTTCCAGATTCAAATTACATCAACTACAAGAGGCAAGCTCAAAAAAAATTTAATATCGCATGAAGACCCATAATTCATAACCTCCATTTGGATGTCACTCATCTTAGCATCCTTATCCAGTAATTTTACCACACTTTTCCCAGTAATTTTACCACACTTTCCCCAGTAATTTTACCACACTTTTCCCAGTAATTTTTCCACACTTTTCCCAGTAATTTTACCTCACTTTTCCCAGTAATTTTACCTCACTTTTCCCAGTAATTTTACCTCACTTTTCCCAGTAATTTTTCCACACTTTTCCCAATAATTTTACCACACTTTTCCCAGTAATTTTACCACACTTTCCCCAGTAATTTTACCACACTTTCCCCAGTAATTTTACCACACTTTCCCCAGTAATTTTACCACACTTTTCCCAGTAATTTTACCACACTTTCCCCAGTAATTTTACCACACTTTCCCCAGTAATTTTACCACACTTTTCCCAGTAATTTTACCACACTTTCCCCAGTAATTTTACCACTTTTTTCCCAGTAATTTTACCACACTTTTCCCAGTAATTTTACCACACTTTCCCCAGTAATTTTACCACACTTTTCCCAGTAATTTTACCACACTTTTCCCAGTAATTTTACCACACTTTTCCCAGTAATTTTACCACACTTTTCCCAGTAATTTTACCACACTTTTCCCAGTAATTTTACCACACTTTCCCCAGTAATTTTACCACACTTTTCCCAGTAATTTTACCACACTTTTCCCATTTTTACTCATGGACTCACATCAATTTTTTTTTTATTTTGACGATTTGTATTACATACTATGGTGAAGGCCCAATGGTGGAACGTAAGAAGGAGGGAGGTAGGGTGTAGAGTGACACTGCTTTGAAAGTGATGCCTCCATTAATAAGCGCCCCCGCCCCCGCCACCACCTTCCGTCTTTCTACCCGTATCCACCAGGAGGATGGCTCATCACCACCACCACGCCCATCGCACCTTCCTCCGACATCTACGCCAATGGGTTTTACTGTGACGTGCTCGCCTACTACACGGTCTACAGCAACCTGGGCTCGGTGTGTGTGTACAAGTCAGATTACACGCTGAACTACACGTCGGCTTTGTCGGTGTGCCGAGGTGAGGTCAGAGGTCATTGGGGTCAAGGGGAAGTCCGATGAGTGGTCTTCTTTTTTTTCTTTTTTTTTTTTAGGTTATGTGAGACATTGGTCATCTTTGGGAAGGCTATGTCAGATGACTGGCCAGTATTTGTGAGGGTAAAGTCAATTGAGCTAGCTACCTATTGCAGTCAGCTTCCAATTGCGGTCATCTACCAAATGCAGTCATCTAGCAAATGCAGGCAGCTACTAAATGCAGTCAGATACTAAATTACCCCGCTTCTAAGACACCACGAATAAAGATGAAGACCAAAGCCAGGCTAATTTACACTGCGTTTTCCCAACCTTTACTTAGCAGTACCAAACCTTTACTTAGGAGTACCAAACCTTTACTTAGCAGTACCAAACCTTTACTTAGGAGTACCAAACCTGTACTTAGCAGTGCCAAACCTGTACTTAGCAGTGCCAAACCTGTACTTAGCAGTGCCAAACCTGTACTTAGCAGTGCCAAACCTGTACTTAGCAGTGCCAAACCTTTACTTAGGAGTACCAAACCTTTACTTAGCAGTACAAACCTTTACTTAGGAGTACCAAACCTTTACTTAGCAGTACCAAACCTTTACTTAGGAGTACCAAACCTGTACTTAGCAGTGCCAAACCTTTACTTAGGAGTACCAAACCTGTACTTAGCAGTGCCAAACCTGTACTTAGCAGTGCCAAACCTGTACTTAGCAGTGCCAAACCTGTACTTAGCAGTGCCAAACCTGTACTTAGCAGTGCCAAACCTGTACTTAGCAGTGCCAAACCTGTACTTAGCAGTGCCAAACCTGTACTTAGCAGTGCCAAACCTGTACTTAGCAGTGCCAAACCTGTACTTAGCAGTACCAAACCTTTACTTAGCAGTGCCAAACCTGTACTTAGCAGTGCCAAACCTGTACTTAGCAGTGCCAAACCTGTACTTAGCAGTGCCAAACCTGTACTTAGCAGTGCCAAACTTTTACTTAGCAGTGCCAAACATGGGCTCTGCTGAATAAATGTGTTGATAGTAAAATTGTCACATGCAGCTGGTAAAACAAGAAAGAACATTCGGAAAGAGTAAAATAAATACAAATGTTTGGTGCCAATAACTGAAAAAAAAAATAGAAGAAAAAAAAAAGAATAAAATAAAAATAGCGCTTAGCTCAAAAGCGGTATACGAGCTAATTGCTATTTTTTAAATTTCAATTCTGTTTTTTCTGTCCTTTGTTCGCTGACGAAGGCTTCTTGCCGATGCGTTCATTTAAAAAAAATTTTTTTTTTGCGTTCCCTTTTTCAGGTTTTCCCAGACTTTGTTCTAGTCATTTCCTTTGTACGTTCTATATCCTACAAAGGTGAAGCTCACGGTCTATAAATAGATCGTGAAATTGATCCTCCAATTGCCATACGTCATCAAGTAGACTTCCTGTTTTAAAACTCAACCAAAGGGAGAAGGGCGCGAACTAAGAAAACATAAAACATTTCTTTTTTTGTCTTGCTCGTGAGGAGCGTGAGTTTAAAATTTGGTAAAACATCGGGCTAGAGGCTATGGCTCATATTATGTGGTCATTTGACGTCATAGTTCAGTGGTCAAGGGATGTAAAGGGGGGGTGTATCGGTATGATTAGGGAAAAGGGGATAGCGGGGAAAGATGTTTCCGATTAAGGCGTAGCACTGAGATATTGATGGTGGGGGGGGGGGGTAACGCTCTGACACAGATTTCTGCGAAGTTAAGGTAAAAGAGATGAATTAGTTGGGGATTGAAAATACTGGATAAAATGTGGGGCAGAAGAATAGGGAGATAGTAAGGATAGGTGTCAATAGTTTGAAATAATGAAACAGCGAAGTTAAGGTAAAAGAGATGAATTAGTTGGGGATTGAAAATACTGGATGAAATGTGGAGCAGAAGAATATGGAGATAGTAAGGATAGGTGTCAATAGTTTGAAATAATGAAACACGAAGAATATTACCTTGGAGACTACAAAAATGACATTTTAATTTCTTCCTGGAATGCAGTATGATAATATGCTGTGACATAAGATGGGATGGACGGAAAACAACTAAGATGGTAGTTTATAAGTTATGTGACGGTGTTTTAGTTGGGTGGGGGGGGGAGGATATCAGCGGAAACCGAATGGGGGTGGGGCGGCTTTTTTAAAATATCTATTTTTAAATAGAGGCTGAGGAGAAAATTGGGAGGAAAGGAGGGAAATTGTTTGAGGCTGGGTGGTGGATTTTTGTGGATGGTGGGATGAGTTGGTAGTCAGGTGTTCAGAAGCCACAGTGGATGAAAGACTATTTGGGGATCAGAAATAATAAAGAGCACGTTGCTTTGTAAAGCAAATGAAAAAAAAAAAAAAAAAGACAAAGCAACAAATTTGAACAGGAGTACACAGTAAACAGCAGTATGTGACCCACAGGCTNGTGCAAAAAAAAAAATATACACATTTCGAAAAATCAAGCAATAAAAGGTTTCTCCACCCCCACCCCCCCCCCGCTAGAAAAGCAGGTGTAAGTATAATATACTTCCGCGTACAATATACATATCCTTTTTCTAATATGATTTTAAATATAATATTCAAATATAAATTTGATTTTTTAAAAAAAATTAAAAAATAAAATAAAATTGTTGTTCGTGTCTACATTTATTTTACTTTCGAGACTAACATGATCACTTTTGACTTGCAGCTTGATGTAAAGAAGTAGAAATAAGGGCCTCGAAAGCTAAAGTAGGTTTTAACGAAAATCTGAAACATAGTAGTTGAAAAAGAGTTTACCATTTGAATAATTTGCTGTTGGCTATCACGCAGTGGCGTAGCTGGGGTTGGGGGGGGGCTGTGCGGACCGCACCGAGTGTCACCAACCCAAGCGACGCCACTGCTATCTATTTCCACTTTGCGTTGCTGGCGATCAGGGGGCCAAGAAATCTATTTCCACTCTGCATTGCTCTACAGATAAGAACGCCTCTTTGTATAAAGTTGAAAATTTGGGCAAATTCAACATGTTGGTCAGAATGACCACCAATTTGCTGACACTGGACGTCTGGGTGGGCGTGGAGGACCTGGATCAGGACGACACCTTCAGGCATTCGTTTAATGGCAAGTTGCTGGGCAGTAATTTTGAGTCACAGATTTTTGATCCAGGTAATCTTTATAGATATGTATAGAGATACTGGCTTTATAGATAGGTATAGAGATACTTGCTTTATAGATATGTATAGAGATACTGGCTTTGTAGTTATGTATAGACCCTTATGACTTTTATAGATACGTCTAGTTGTCTAGAGATACTGGCTTTATAGTTATGTATAGACCCTTATGACTTTTATAGATACGTCTAGTTGTCTAGACATAATGACTTTATAGACTTGTAAAGCGATAATGAATTTATAGATATGTACAGAGATAATGACTTTAAGAATATGTATAGACCATACTGACTTTTAAAGATATGTATAGAGATAATTACTTTTTAAACTGTATTTAAAATTTGTATAAGTTAATAAGCACAATAGCGATAACAATGACACTATTGTATTTCTATGGGGCATAGCTTTCTCTAGTCTTCTGTCCGCCAATATTACTTAATGGAATAACTGGTGGCAGAGCACATGATATTCAGTTAATATCCGTTACCGGATAGGGTCAGCGGCAACGGACCTATATTCGTTCTGTGATCACCGCGAAGAAGATGTTTATTGAAAGTCTAGATAGGCGAAACACGGGTGTCTTAAAGATCGGTTAGTTTAGGAAAGGCTGTCCGTCTGCGCACTGCTACCGAGCTCTTCCTTCTATCACCTCAACTCCCTTCTACCCCCTTCTGATCACCCGCTCTCCCATTCACTCCCGTATCCTCACCCCCCCCCCCCCCCCCCCCCCCCCCCCCCCCAAAAAAAAAAACAACAAAAAAAAACGCATGCCTATCTTATCCCACCTGTTGCCAGAATGCGTCAAAGTAAAGGAAAGTTAAGATGCGTCGCGGAGGATTTTTTAGTGCATAGATCCATACGAAATATCAGAAGAGATCAGCAGGCCTAGCTCCCTAGCGAGCAGTGCAGCCGAGGCTGCCACTCCAGGATCGGCCCCCCACTAGGAAGTCGCTGAAGTTCTAAGACGAGACTATAGCTGCACCATTGGCTCGCTAATGCGGACGGATGCCAACATAAATATATTTTTAAAATAAACATAGTTTTTATTTATTAGTTTGTGTGTGGGGAGGTGGGGGATCTAATACAATAAATCACCTCAAATTGTTACCATTCTTTTGGGGGGTGGGGGCCGACCACGTCAGCTTTCATGAGCGTGGTCCGTAAGACGGTCTCTAGATTTGTATAGCATCTTCCTAAAATATGTTTCTCCTACCCCTTCACCCTTTGGTTCTCCCCCCCCCCCTATCTCTTCCCAGATCCCTGTTCAGAGTAATTGATGAACATAGAACAAGTTATAACAGTTTACCGTGGCTTGTTGACCTGGTCAACAAGGCGCTGTCACGTGATGCCTTTTTCATGACCGAAAATAAAATTCTCCGTTCGTATGTATTTGTGATCGCAAGTAAAATTCATACAATGCAGTGGTTCTCAAACTGTGCGTTGCAATCCCTTTAGGGGTCGAACAACCCTTACGGGAACACATATTTAGGAAGTAGCAATGAGAATAATTTGTATGGTTGGGAGGGGGGCACCACAAAATGAGGAACTGTATTAAAGGGTCGCGGCATTAGGAAGGTTGAGAACCACTGCTATAATGTATCTATTACAGTATTTTTTTCAAAATGATGTATTTCAGGTTATAAGAACAACACCGTCGGCCAGAATTGTGGACTCTTCATTCAAAACAGCAGTCTTTTGGCTAGCACCAACACCAGTCTTTTGGTTAGCACGCCCTGTAGCACGCCACAATACTTCCTGTGTGAGATGTTTGAAGCGCCATGAACCAGTTTTAGGATACGTACAAATTAACAATGGACCTGTTAGTGTCTGTACAAACTCCATTAACAATGTACCCTTAAAAAAAAAAATGAGGAAGTTGCCCTTGTTGTAAATAGCTTAATTTTTAAATCGAAAAGAGCATTAGAGGCTAAAAAAAAAATTATACCCGATGTCATGACGTCATTGTTGTTACTTGCCGGAAGCGTTTTGGCATGAATCTCAGTTAAACGAAACTAAACATTAAACACTAAACATTAAACTCTAGACGGTAAACTTTAAACACTTAACACTAAACAATTAACACTAAACACTAAACACTTAACACTAAACACTAAACACTAAACACTTAACACTAAGCACTAAACACTAACCATTAAACTCTAGACGGTAAACTTTAAACACTTAACACTAAACACTTAACACTAAACACAACACTAAACACTAACCATTAAACACTAACACTTAAACACTAACAATTAAACTCTAGATGGTAAACTATGTGGTGTGGTTATTGACATCACTCAGTAGACTGAGATGGCTCCAGTAGAATATGTGGTGTTGTTATTGACATCGCTCAGTAGACTGAGATGTTTCCAGTACAATATGTGGTGTTGTTATTGACATCCCTCAGAAGACTGAGATGTTTCCAGTACAATATGTGGTGTTGTTATTGACATCACTCAGTAGACTGAGATGGCTCCAGTACAATATGTGGTGTTGTTATGGACATCACTCAGTAGACTGAGATGTTTCCAGTACAATATGTGGTGTTGTTATTGACATCACTCAGTAGACTGAGATGGCTCCAGTACAATATGTGGTGTTGTTATTGACATCACTCAGTAGACTGAGATGGCTCCAGTACAATATGTGGTGTTGTTATTGACATCACTCAGTAGACTGAGATGGCTCCAGTACAATATGTGGTGTTGTTATTGACATCACTCAGTAGACTGAGATGGCTCCAGTACAATATGTGGTGTTGTTATTGACATCACTCAGTAGACTGAGATGGCTCCAGTACAACGTGAGTGGTATGATTGATTTACTTGTTACGCACTGGCTTCTAATATGAGAAATTAATCTCCTATTTTAATTTTATTGGCTCGTTGTAAACAGTGCCTAACAAAGGACGATACCATAGAGTCAACAATTGTAAAGATACGACACCCAAAACAGTTGCTTGTTACAATTAATATAATTTAGTAATAATACAATTACAAATCAAAAGAAATATAAATACAAATCATCAACTTACAGTATGATAGATCTTGTACCGGTACACAGTTAACATAGTTAGTACAATGTGCCAATGGATAACGATGAATGATCAAAGCGAATAAACACATATAAGAATAATACACGTCTCGTTAAGTTAACAATATCTATCAATCTCCGTCCGCTGTCTGTGCCTGTCAATCCTTTAGACATGTGGGTCTACCGACGCGTAAGCCCTGCCTTCCAGAAGCTACTCAGCATTTGTTTACATTTCTAGAACAAATCGGGATCACTCGACAAGATACTAGGAGACAGTCTAACCAAGTTTCATCGGTAAACACGACACATCACAGACATTTAACCACGCCCACAACAAACGTTACTGTCTGCTAGGAGTCTAAGGCGAGGTCAAAGAAAAGGTCACGCACGGGGAAGTGGTGTTAAACATTTTACATAACATGCTGTACAACACAGATCCACGGCTGCAAGAGCATATTGTTTGCCATGCAACGACTGGCCTTTGGAGTGTTCGGTTAACTGTTCGGTTATTCGAAAATCCCCCCACACACCCCCCTATGCCCCACACACACCTGATTCAAATTAGTCCGGCAAGACAACACACTTCTGTATATCGTCACTCACGACAATGATGTGTTGTCATTCAATTTTGACTCTCCCGCATTTTTTCATGAACGTAGATCAACGGATGTAACATTTGTTTACTAGGTATAAACGTATGTATGGCCGTAACGCTGTGTTCTATAGGCGCGCAAAATAAAAATCCGAGAAGTTAGCACTAATTGGGATACTTATTAAGGTATAAACTGCGTTAGTTGATGTGAAGGGCACGCATCGCCGCCGCCATTTTCTGTCGCTTATTCTTAGTACAGTCGAACCCACTTATCTTGACCTCGCCAACCCTGTTATGTCGACGTTATTGAAGGGGAAGCGCCAAAATCTCTCTTTGTATTAGCATTTGCTCCTCGGTTATGTCGATTTTTTAATGTCGCCGAACTTTGATGTCTCGAGCACAAAAGGCGGCCGAATTTGCAACTTAACCTCGGTTATCTCGATCCTCATGACCAATCGCCGGCTTTTGAAAATTATATACAACAGAAACGTGGCTACTTCAAACTGTAGTAATTGACAGGACATTGCAATGTCCGCGCAATTGACTTGACACAGCAAGAAGCGAGGAGCGATAGGCTTGCAAACAAAAGAGAGAGGTCGTAGTACCTGTTCTATTTATAGCCGTATCCGGAAATTTGTTTGAAAGACATTTCGTCGAAGGAATTGATCGACGGAAGTTTGGTCGAACAATTTTCTGTCAACGTAATTTCTTTCAAACAAATTTCTGGTAACCATTTATAGCGAGCCCGGTTGTCGGCTTAGTAGATTTTCACGCGTTCTTACACGTTCATCTTTCTTCTTCTTTTTTTTAAACCGAGAATCAGTATTTGAATAAACTGAACTGGCGAATTCGGAGCGAGAGAAAATAAAAAACTCGCGAATCCGGAGCTGAAAAATATTTAGCCTCACGAATCCTAAATTCCGAGAAAATCCGGAAAAGTGCCATCCCACATATGCCTTGTGTTGTTAGGACACATGTACGTACATTTTTATGGCATGCCGGTGGCTTCATCAAACAAATCGTGGCAACGCTCTTGTGTAACAAACAAAAAAATAATAAAAACTATAAAAAAACACGTGCATGCACATTCTTATTTATAAACGCACATCGTGTACTTAAAGTTCAAGCACATGTCAATATATTTCCGCCGCCATAGTGGTTTTCGGTTATGTCGATCATCGGTTATCTCGACGCTTTTTTGGAAAACCCCGAGGCCGTCGAGACAACTGGGTTCGACTGGGAACCAAGTAAGTGATAGCAAGCAGTAGAGGAATCACCAAACGTATGGTAGGACTACATTTGATGACATCAACAACAATTTACGCGCAACCTGGCAACACCATCACCTCTGCATTGTCTTGGCATGTAAACAATGACAGAAAGATGTCAAACTGTGCAGTGCAATGACATTGTTTTAGATTTAAGGGCTGTATATTGTGAAGGTTGTTTATTGTGAGGGATGTATATTGTGTGGAATGTTTAGTGTAGGGAAAATGTGTTATAGTTATTTGTCCTGCATCTGTATTTACCAGCAATTAGTTTCCTTCAAATGTATTCCCAGCATGCTGGCTTCTTAAGAGTTTTTAAAAAAAAAACAGCAATTGTTATAATTGTGTTATTTGCATATTTGTATTATAAACATATTCTGAGCTGTTTGGAATAATAGGCAGATGTCAGCGTAACCTCTTAGCAGCACCTGACTGGAGCAACTTTAACCCCGGGGGGCTTGTGGCCCGTTCCCCGATTTTCACACTGGATACTCCGGGCCTGACAATGCTACTTTATAAGACTGTTGAATATGTCAACATCTGTATTCCCTTTATCAGTCTCTGTCAACTTCTGTTCTGTATTTTGGAAGGTGGTGCCAAATAGGATATAGATAATGATATTTCCTGGCCTGACTTTGTTTAGTTAACTTTTTAAAAAAAAAGAAAAGAAAAAGAATATGACAACTTGATTAAAAGATACACTCTGCGTAAGAAATGAGGACATGGTCAGGAGAAGATAAACGCTGCTAAAGATGTTCGAGCCTTGTCTACCAGGCTTAACGCTCGAAACCTTAACTCCATATTTGCACTGTGTTTGACTTCTGGGATAGGTAGGCCCCATACTTTGACTAGTGGGACAGGTGAGGCCCCATACTTTGACTGCTTGGATAGGTAGGCCCCATACTTGGTACAGTCTAGATTACCTGGCAAAAAAAAAAACAAGACCCCTTTCTTTAGGCAGCCATTTCTTTTTACAAATATAATTTTCTCAGATTCCTTAACAAGAAATAAAATAAAAAACATCAAATTAAACACAGGGTGTTCTCTTGTTGACTATTTCAAATTGAACAAATGTACGCCAGAAATTATATTAGATTCAAGATTGTCAACAGCTAAGCGAACATGAGATGAACAATGGCAAGACTATGGGGAATCAATGCTGCACAGCAATGCCATCTCTGCTGGGGAGTTGGTGTTTGATATACTGGTAGGTTCTTCGTACGACGATACTAATCAGATGTGACTTTGACACAAACGCTATCATGGCCAGATGGATAAATATATACCAGCGTGGTCAGATAGACAAATATACACCAGCATGGTCGGATAGAAAAAAGATAATCCAGTAATGGTCGGATAGAAAAAGATAATCCAGCATGGTCGGATAGATAAAGATAATCCAGCATGGTCAGATATATAAAGATATACCTGTAAGGGCAGATAGACCAAGAAATAACGTCATTCAGATACTTAAGTGATCATGGTCGGATAAGGAAACATTAGCAAACACTTTAAAAGAAATGTGGCCTATACATGGCCTGGCCTATACATGGCCTGGCCTATACATGGCCTGGCCTATACATGACCTGGCGTATACATGGCCTGGCCTATACATGGCCTGGCCTATACATGGCCTGGCCTATACATGACCTGGCCTATACATGGCCTGGCCTATACATGGCCTGGCCTATGCATGGCCTGGCTATACATGACCTGGCCTATACATGACCTGGCCTATACATGACCTGGCCTATACATGACCTGGCCTATACATGACCTGGCCAATACATGGCCTGGCCTATACCTGACCTGGCCTATACATGACCTGGCCTATACATGGCCTGGCCTATACATGGCCTGGCCTATACATCACCTCGCCTATACATGGCCTGGCCTATACATGACCTGGCCTATACATGACCTGGCCTATACATGACCTGGCCTATACATGACCTGGCCTATACATGACCTGGCCCATACATGACCTGGGCTATACATGACCTGGCCTATACATGACCTGGCCTATACATGACCTGGCCAATACCTGGCCTGGCCTATACCTGACCTGGCCTATACATGACCTGGCCTATACATGGCCTGGCCTATACATGGCCTGGCCTATACATGACCTGGCCTATACATGGCCTGGCCTATACATGGCCTGCCCTATACATGGCCTAGCCTATGTCCCAACACCAGGGGCGTAGCTAGGGTTATTACCCCCACTGGGCGTGCCAAGATTTTTGCCACATCCCTTCATCGAAAAAAAAACCAACCCCACCTATGCCATCGGCGGAAAATGCCAGCCCTCAAAAGATAAAAACGGAGCGCCACTTGGGGCGGAACGTCCCACCTTCTCCCCCTCATAAACACTTATCACCTCACACAGCATTCAGATATGAAGAACCGTAGTGATGAACACAAGTCGCAGTCATTAGAAAAAGGAACGCTAACAAAAGGAAAAAAATAATAATTTTAAATGGGAAAAAAACAACATACAGATACACAATCTACTAGGGAAAAAAACTCACTGACTTCAGAGCGGCCATCATTAAAATAGAACACAAAGCAATAGGATAACTACATAAATTCTACACCATACTATCCTCGATCTCCAATTGGAATAACCCCATAATTTATACACGAAATTTAGGGTACATATTTGGTGTCCTCGTATACCCTA